CTGCATTTCACAGGAAACCGCTTCTTGTGTTGGAATTCTGTAAATCAAGTGCGGCGTAGAGTACGCATTTCTCCTTACTCTCCTGGCCAAGTGTGGCGAGAGCGGCTGTATAAATAGTGTTTCTCGAGAAGTCCTGATCATACCCATCTAATGATAAAAAATTAACATAATGTAAGTACCAGCAAGAAATTTGTATGCGTAATGTGATGATTTTGAGTGCAATTCGGTGTTAATAAGCACGAGTAAATTTTTCAAAGAGAGCAAAATTGCACAAGCCCATAGGGTGAGTACAATTTCTAGTCTTTGAAAAATTTACAAGTGCTGTTTACACCAAATTGCAGGAGAAATCATGTTTTTTTTTATTAATAATTTACATGAAAAAAAAAAACATATTAGAGAGGCAAGACAGACGAAATTTTGAAAGTGTGCGCGTGTTATTTGTTATTTGCACTCGAGTTACAAGAGAATGCACAAATTTTCAGCCAATTAGAAGCGCGTCATTTTTCATGCACATCATTAACACGGTAGCAAACACAGGCGTGTCTGAGCGAGAGCACCATTTTCAGAAACTTTACATAAGTCAAACTTATCATGTTCCTTTCTCTATCGCTTGGCAAAAACGTTTAGAGAAAAACTCAAGATACCATCAAACGTAACAAAACTCTTACCAAGCTTCTGTCACCTCGCAAGGCCACCAAGGAATCTGGATCGGACAAAACTTGTCCCAAGTAGTATTTGTTTTTGGGTGCAGATTGAGTCGTTACCATACCCTCTCCGTGATGTCTCTCAATAACTAGGTTCGGTGCCATGAGATTACCATTTCGCTTCAATCTAAGCCGTAATTTGGAACCAAATGCATGCACGTCGTAATGTACAATATCTGAATGACCCACATCTCTCCTGATGCGAAAGGGAGACGTAGTCCTTCCATTAACGTCTGTATGATGTGGCGAGCTAATATCGTATTCGGGAACTGTGAAAAGATGGTAAAAACTTACGTTCTTAGAGGTCTAGGCCTTTCGGGGCTTACCCAGTGTCAGTTGGAATGTGGAAGACGCGTTGCCTTAACAGGTAGTACGTTGGGCTCCAGGTCGAAATGTCCGTGTTCAAAACTCGGCTGGCTTTAGTTAATTACGCTTTTAGGAAAGAAGCTTTATTTCTCTCTCCACCTTCGGGGGCGCTGTCAGTTACGATCTCCATGAGTAACATCTTAAATGGGCTTACGACTGCACTAATCTTCTTTTCACTGCTCAAAATATCGCAAAAATAGCTCAAAATTATCAAACATGCAAAAAGGAACTTTTTTGTCTTACTTTTTGTATGATCCTTGACACCAAAGTAATGCTCTATTTCTCTCTTGGTCATGTGAAGGTGGACATTCTAAGGAAAGAATCAAGGAAGATAAATACACAAACGCTTCAAGCCGATCATGAGATGCACCCCCTTTGTACAACTCGAATAAATTGATGTCTCGCAAAAATTTTTATTTCGATTGAAGTGAGTTGCACTATGTTTGTGACAGTCTCAATAAATTATCACTATCATATCTTCATCGCACAACCAAAGTGAAATCGATTTCCGTAACGCATCTTACATACAAAACATAAGCAACATCAAGTAATCATTGAAAAATACGAACCCCTCGCAAATTTGAACAAGTAGTTTGGAAATTTTTTTTCCAACCAAGGTATGAGCATTGAAATTCAACTACCTTTGAAACATTTTTCCGAGGAAAAATATAACTTACTTGTTCAGATTTCCTTGCTAGGACAGCGTCTAAGTAAGAAAGATTGGTAAACAAAATCAAGTAAATCAACCATTCTAAAAAGAAGCTATACCGATTAATGAGTTTATGAATAACCTATATTAATCCTTAGTCAAAATGTCTTATCCAGAGCGTAAACCCTTGAATTACTCTCTTATTTTTATTTGAAACTGCGAATTGTTTTGCAAACGTATGCCACGACTTTGTTTGAAATCTTCCCAAACGTCTTTGTCTGGTAAATTCTTCGGGTAGCTTCCATTTGGAAAGAGTGACAGTCAAAGGCCTGCTGGTTTCGGAGATAACGAGTTTTGTTACAAAAATGTTCCTACACCCAGGGTATTACAGAAACTAAAACTTGTTGATTTATCCTCTCGATTTTATTTTGATTCCACAGTGTGTCCTATCGTGAGCTTAGAAAGGTTTTTCTTACTCTACACTGAAAGCAAAGTAAAGGCGTTGAATGCAGGGCATAAAGTATCGTTGCTTTTTCAATAAAATACGAGGTGCATTTAAAGAAGGTGCTGTAGGAGTGCCTTACCAATGGATAGAAGCAACGCAAAAACCAGGAAAAGCCAATTGGACGATGGAAATCGCATTCTGTACATTCTAAGAAGGCAAATAGAAAGGATAGCAAATACAAGTGAGCTAAACTCACATACTTTTGCATACACAGGCAGCTTGTACGGTGTACAAATAAACTATCCATTACTAGCTCGTAAGATGTGTCAATGATGGCCGAACGGAAATGTCAAATATCAGAAATGGGTGACTGTGCAATAAAATTCTAAGGAAGGGAAATGCTAAAATGCTGACCGCTTTGATTTGGATTTGTTAATCTTGTCAACTGTCGCATTGCGTCACCGAAGCTATCATGAGCAAAACTTAAAATAGTCGAGTGTATTTTAGATCCATTTCACCACGCATTTTCTAGGTTTTTTTTTTGAATTTCGTGCTTTTCTCTCTGAGTTAAAAAATGATGATGAAATACCAGAAAACTGATCAAGCTGAGACTTGCAAATTCCCACAACATACTAGAACAATGAAAGCCATAATTAAATTTGCTTCTTTTGGTTACGTGTTCAATGAAGTGCGAATTACTTGTTTCGTCGCATTTAGTCCGGATACATTTGCTTTATTTAATTTGAAATAGTACCTTTGGAAGGTTCATTGTAAAGAAAACTGCGAAAAAAATACAAAGGGCGAAGTTTGGGAGACTTTTGAGTTGCCAAATATTACGGGCCAATTCCTCCCACTGCATTGCTTTTCATGAATAACTCATTTCTACCAAAATTATCAGATCGTTTAGCTTGCATTAATGAACATTGACCAACTCCGAGTTTTAAGAGGATAGATGAGCATGAAGTTCAAGTTTTTCGAATTAGGCTGCACTTTGCATTGTTCATCATTCCTACGAAGATAGGAAATAATGATCTGAGAGAAATTAATTATGCGCTGCCATTTGTTGTGAAGCAGTATTGTTATGCACCAATGACTACGCAAAAAGACAAGTCTACAGGAAAATAAATGCTAACTTTTTTAACTGTGAATGCATATCTGAAGGTACTGAAAATGGTAAAAACTGTACCATTCCGTTAGTATTTTCAGCCAGCGAGGCCCTCAGTCTTTCTACATCCTGGGCGCTTAACCTGCCTAACAAAGAAAAACTTTGGCATCTTGCCACACCAGTATTCAGACAAATGTGGACACCGATGAAAATGCAGACCCACTATCAAAGGAACCTAATTTACCACAATAATTTCAAGGCCAGCATTTTAATAATTTCATTTTCCTTTACTTAATTTGCTCGTATCAACCATCAAATATATATTTTTTGTATCCTTTGAAATATGTTTCATATTCAAGCCTCATTGCGCAATATTTGTGCAGACTAGAACTCGATAAGATAACACATCACCTAACATGTTGAGCTCAAGAACGTTCGTCTAAATACCCTTCAGCACGTCGAAAGCTGGATTAAATTCAAAAATTTGAATTTAAATTAAGATGTGTACCATAAAGTTCTATTCTCTGACAGCGATAATTAAATTTAAGGTTACCGTAACCATAACAATCATGACGATGATATGGAACGCTCGTCTGAGGCAGTCAAACTTTCTCCGTTATCCTTGAATTGAGTTCACTGCATCTGTTTATCTTTTGCCACATAACGTTTTTCCAGGGGGCACTATTAAACGTGAATGTTTTGGTTCAAAAAGTATAACGGTGGCTTGAAACAAGACGATATCCAGACGTATCCTGGCGCGGTGAGAATTCAAAAGGAGGCCGAGTTATGTTCTCTGTGAGATAATTTCGCTTCGTATTGTTGTCCGTGTCTGAAGAAATTTCAGGTCAAGATGTCTATCAAAACTTGACGGTCGGCAGCGCGGTTTGTCTAAGGTTGGCTTTAATCCTGACCTTAAAATGTAACACACGCAATATTGTCTAAATATCGCTTGCAGTTCACCACATTTTTGAGGGTTCATTAGAAAAAATATTCATTAGTAAAAAGACTGAATCTCATTTCTTAATCACAATAAGCAACGTTATGCTAATTTTTGTCGTATTTCGTTCAGGATTGCAACAAGGAACTCGAGAGAAAACCTTTTGCTCACTGTTTAACTTTTCTTGAGAATTCATAGCAAAGGACCTGCCACAAGAACATGCCACAAAATGATGATACAAGATGATAATTAAAAAAATACAAAATGAACAACAACAGATATGACAGTTGGGGTAAGACAGAGCTGAGTGAAAATTGGGCGCTGCTATTCAACCGTTAATCTCCCTGATCTGATTAATAAGAATATATTATAATAACAACACATTGTTCAGCAAACTTATGATCAGTCAAATTGTTGAATAAGCCTGCTCACTCGAAGGAAATAGAAGCCGCTAAATTCAAGTAAATTTTTAACTTGGTTAGAGTTACTTGGTTACAGGTTACTTTAGGTCTTTCGAAACATAAGCTGGTATTGCTGTGCAACTGCTGTTGCACTCTGGATCAATTTTAGCAACAAAATATTCGGTCGAGGTACCCGAAAAGAAGCAAATTTAACTACCTGACATGACTAAGGAGATCACAACTAGCTCGTGCGAAATGACCTTGATACAACTTTAACTGAAGGTAATTTTAACTTCAACGAGTAACTCGAACTTACTATCTATGTTCATGACAAACCACCATAGTAGCAAGAGCTTTAGCGATGCACTTGTATTATCAAGAACGATGTTTTACCTATTTCCCACAACTACATTTCGTGGAGACTTTGAGTCTACTGAAGTAATATTGACAGTATATCATAAGTAGAAAATATTTAGAACAATACTGAAATACTACTATTCACTGGTACTGAGGCTTGACTCGTGATACATTTATAAAAATATTTTTGGTGAAAGATTAGTATGGGCTCAAATCTCCTACCTTTCTGACATGGCAATGGAATCAGACATTCTCATTTTCGCGCACGAAGAAATTTAAATGCCAGCGTTTTCCACGTTATTTGGAATATGATTGGCCTGAACAGCGCTAGCGTCAAACTGAAATACTTTTCGGACGAAAGGAAATACTTCTCTTTCGGGGCATATTTTGCTGTTCTTTTCTTCGGATTCTTTACAGTGAAAGCTTCTGATCTTAACTAGAGTTTATCAATTCAAAAAATCCTGTTTTCAGACAGAATTAAAATTAATAAAAGACAACTTATGTTAATTTGCCAATACTATCTTCCAAAATAGAAATATAATAGAAGATTTAACCGCTACAACTCACAAGTTCTACTAAAGGACATGCAAAAGCGATAATATAGATGATATCAGTAGAAAACACTTGAGGCGAATCCATCAGTCAAAATCACAACTTGACAAATAGGAAAATAGTGTCATTTCTTATCCTTTAGCTTGTTAATATGAATGAAAATCTCAAGTTACGTGGTTAAAGATTTATAAAAATATCTCTGCGGGCTTTCGAATATAACATGCATAATTGTGGTATGAAATCTTTTCACTGACGCGGTAGCCATTTTGAATAAATCATGGTCTGAAACAACATTAGCCAAAAAGGTTTCGATGCACAGGAATCGAAGTGACAAGGGCACGAAGGAGAAGAATACTCAAGGGCGAGCGTATACGTCAAAGGAAAATTTACATATTACATGAAATAAACAAATCAAAGTTTTACTTTGGAATTTGCACGGGATGGGTTTTCGTACTCTGTTTTCCAGGTTGAATCGATGGTTTTTGAGGAGGTAAGGAAACCCTTGAAACAATGTAGAGAACAACCAAAAAATTCAACACACTCGCATCAATGCATCAACGGTTTAGGGAATCGAATCCAGGCCAAAGCGGAGGAAAACGAGCGCTTCCACCGTCTTTGTTTCAAAGTTGGCTTATGCTGTCTAGTGACTCTCTTTGCTGCAAAGTCTTCCTTAAGATATTGCAGGGAATTTTGCGCGGACATGCCTTAACGGAGTCAAAAAAACAAACAAACAAAAAAAACCGCTGTGGCTAAATTTTCATTCATACAAATCTTGAACTGTTCGGCTTATAGGATATAAAAAGTCAATAAGATTCTTAATGTGAAGGACAAAGTGTGTACAATATGTAGGTAAGTTATGAATTTCAGCCAAGGCGTTGGGCAAGAATTGACACCGCGTTGGGAATCACAAGGGTATGCCAAGATTCCAGCATCCTTCCATTTTCAAGAACTATAATTGTCAATCATGGAGGCACTTTCAAAGATATTACCTGGCCTTGATGCCACGAATGATCTGTAAATATAGACTGTTGCCAGCTGGTCCTCAGATTAGAATCGGCACAAAGAGAAAAAAGCACACGAAATGTTCAAACGTGTGTCAACAACTTAAATGGTCTTCTGAGCATGTATCTCCTTTCCGGTTGCAGAAATATCCTGGAGACTCTACCGAATTAGGTCTCGTCTGTTGTAAACACCTTTCGCTGATTAACCCCTGAGGCAATTTGGCAAATAAAAATTGCCGACTATTTGCACGTCTCACGTAATACCGAGAATGGTTGAACACCAAAGAACATCGAAACATTTTAGAAAGGACTCTTCCTCTCCCGTTCTTCGCTCTTTTGTTTATCGCCATATTATTTTGATCAGACAAACTAAATTTTTAATTATTCCTCAAGGCTACGACATAACTAAATGTCGTAGGCCTAAAAAAAGGCAGTAGTATTTTTATTTCTGGTATCAAAAGGAAATACCATTCAACCAGCTCCTGGAGAGATTTAAAACCTCCCAAGTAGTCAAATTGAACTAAAAAAAGACTGAACTGGCTTCATTCAAATTGAAACTTTACGCTACGATAAACGGAGGAAAGTAACAAATGCTTGATAAATGTCAAATCTACTATTACTCTTAAAACCTAGTGTTAAAGTTTGTCAGTAAATGCAGCCAAAGTGTAAAAGAGAGCTTTTGCATATCAGCTTGCCTTCGACTACATAAAAAGTACAATTTAAGCACAATGAAAAGGAAAGGCGGGTACGTCGGTTCGATTGCAGTTCAGCTCAGTAAACAGCGCAGGACATAAGCTCTTGGAAAATGCCACACAAGGAATAAAAGGCTAGCCGGTGGCAAACACGTCCGTCTACATAAGTAAGCAGGGTGCAATTTTGATGCAGATTATTATTTAGTTTATTTTTTTCCCACCTGGGGCTTTTGTCAACAGTTTTAGATAAACACTAGCCCAAAAATGAAAACATTTTTACTGAAACAAAAGACAACGTTTAAGTTAATGACTTTACTAAAAGCATGCGTCCGACTCGGACATAATTATCCTTTACCTTTACGTTACAACAATTTTTTCCATACTTCAAGTTCTGAGACGGTTAAAGATGAAAAAGGAGTAGTAAATAATGCAGCTGACCAACTTGTGTAATTTGAATTTGTGTTTGTACCAGGGACTAATACATTGCTTTTGCTGAATCTGCTACATAATAACTGTCCACGGTGATTTGGCAAATACAAATGCTCAAGAATTCTTACGTCTTGCGGTGATGGGTGTTCGGAATTTGTCAATTAGCGTCACTTCTCACAAGAGTTTAAACAGCTGATACGAAATGGACTTCAATTTGACTGACAGGGCGCACTTTGTCTGCAATCTGCATGATAAATTTATAGCAAGATAAGGGTGGTAGGAAGGGAGAAGGAGACAGATTGCGTAAAATCTCTTATTCCGTTCCTAGTTACTTCATAAACGGATTGCTATTGAAATATGGACAGTGGTGATGTTACCCTAGCCTTAAATAATTTTGCTTTTGTAATTTGACCAAGTCAATATTTGCATAAGTGTCTAGTTAGTCCAATTATTTTTCCTTAATTAATCATGGTCCTTTCAAACCTTGTTGAAATACCACTTTCAAAACTTAAGCCTCAGAATTAATAATCTAGAGACAAAGCAGACACAGCAAGTTTTTGCAAAGTCAACATGTTCTTGGTTCCCATAATTTGTAAGCCTCCTGTTGGGAAACATTTCAACACTAATGATAGGCACCGTAAATCTTGCTAAATCTTCCGCTTCAGCTCTCTTTGAGGTCAAAACAGACAATAATTTTGAATTTTTATCAAGGATCGTGATGTAACGCATCCAGAATTCCATATAGTTAATCTTTCATTAATAATATAACTTTTAAATCCGTCGGGTTTTAGGTGATTACGAAGAATGACAACAGAGTAACACCTGTTAATAGCAAAGCCAGTTAAAAGAGCTTGCCTTGCTTTCGTGGCTTGTCCGAACAATACTGTCTTGCGCATATTATATACTCGAAAGATATTTGATTTCGCGAAGGAATTCCAGGTATAGAATAAAGTGGAAATAGGAAGACCTTGAGGACAACCCATTGTGAACAAAAACATGATCTTCTAAAGAGACCGGCAGGGTGCTGTATTCGAATGTAAATTGTTTGTCTAAGAACTTAACAAAGACGAAACTAAGTTGAAACAAACATTACACCAAGGGAAAGCGCCTGTCTTATAGATAACTCAGTTTCCCCACAATGGTTTGTTGGATGGAAGGAAGTTGGGACACCAATACCCTGAATTGGACTTAAGGGCAAGGAACGGAATCTCACTAACAAGAGGAATTTAGCCACGCATTTTTAAAACAGACTTCTGTCTTACTTTTATTTTGATTAGTTTCCATGGAGTAGATATCAATACAGCTGACTGCATTCTCCAGAATCCTGATATCACAGTGTTCGTGAGTTGCTGAGAATGTTTCGTGACGATTCTCAATTTAACTGTTAAAAGGCGCCAATGGGTAATCGAAATTCGTCAATTTTCTTAAAGACTCTTAAGAGTTAAATTAAATGGAAAATTCAACTTGATTGACTGGCTGCGGTTTCAGAGAACTTTTGCTGGCGGAAAAGCTTAGAAGAAGGTATTGGAAAGCACGAGAAAGTTTCATATACCGATTTTCTTTGATCCCCTTGTGTTTTCTCATTCTCTTCAACAGAGATGAAATGCGAAAATTTAGGAGCAGGAAAAAAATCCTTGAAAAATTTACATTTGTGTATCCTACAGCAAAGTTAACATTTGCATAGTTACCGACTCAGTTTAATTACAGGTTATTTTGCTGAGCACACCTTATGCAAACACCAGCTTCATATCTTAAGCCCCATAATAGCGTAGTCAAATAGAAAACAAACAAAAGAAGCTCGTGTAAATTCTAAAATCTTTGTGAGAATTATCTATACTGTTCCTGTTGGAAAGGATCGAACGTTTATTAGACGGTGCAATGAGCTTGAACCGTGTCGAACGACAGAGAAGAATTAAATTATAATTAACAACGTTGTTGTTTGAGATAAAAGCATACAAGAAATAAAGTTTTCAAAACAGATCAGGCTCGAAAGCATTGCAAATTTATTTAATTTATTCTTTATTTAATAAAGGCTAGTTTTCCCTTAACATGAAGGAATTTTGTGGTTTATAAAGAATAACAAAAGATGAAACCCTTCGTGCGTGAGTCGATTTCCTATATTAAACCTCACGTCACAATCGTAAGCCTTCCCTTTTTGAGTGAGTCTCGATTTTGTCACATGAGAAGAATGGTTAGCATAAACTCTAAGATGAAACATGAAAATGTTTCGTTTTAATCCAGCTGGAGAAAATCAAAATTGCATCTCCCTCGAATTAAACTACATTTTCTAAACATAGGTAACATTGTACTATATTACCCAGAGACTTCAAATTTCCATCTGGGCTTTTTTCTTCACGGTAGGTTAAATTTTTATCGACATCAATCATCATACACTGAGTGCAGTGACTCAAAACATCACTGTCTGTAATGATCTGTAGTATTCATCCAAGTTCACCGGAAATACTCCAGTTGCATTGACGAATACATGCATCTAAGTTTTATTCTCTGCTACTGTAGAGTAAGTCAATGTGGCAGAATTGAAATCTAGCAAGGTTCCGTAAGTTTTGAAACGGTTGCAACTGGCTGCAACTGTAAATGCATTTGCAAATTTCGTCTTCATTCCTGAATACGAAATTGTCCCCAGCAGGCAAACGAATTGAAATGTAACTAAAATAGTCGTGGTGTGGTATCCAAGCAATACAAAGTTATGCAATAAACCTAAGTATTCTATAGCACTGTTGGAATCAGTGGTAGCCTATATTAAAAGCAACAAAGAATCGCAACACCAACACATTGATATTTGAACACGGTCATGTCATAACACTGAAAACAATATCACAAATCGTTTTGATTTACCTTGTAGCTTTTTCCACTTGAATACTAGCGAGCTCCGTAGCGATTGCCAACACTGGTAAAAACTCTGGCTACAGTAAGTGCTTCTCAGTTTTTTTCTTGCCGCAGTACAGTGAAATAAAAGCCGACTTCATCGATTAACAATTTAGCCTACGTGCGCGTGACAAACCTTGTTACGACCCATCGGTTTCAAGTGTCACGAACGTTTATGACGCAACACTTTGAAGGTGATGCGTGACTTTGCATGATGGCAGGCGTTACCGTTAACAGATGAGTGGGTGAAAAATGAATGGGCAGCAATTAGCAATTGTTGTAGTATTAATAGCACCAGTCAATAATTTTCCAGTATACTACGTTCATATTACAAAAGAGGAAAGTGAAATAAAAGCCGACTTCATCGATTAACAATTTAGCTTACGTGCGCGTGATAAACCTTTGTTTCGACCCATCGGTTTCAGGTGTCACGAACGTTTATGACCCAACACTTTGAAGGTGATGCGTGACTTTGCATGATGGTAGGCGTTACCGTTAACAGATGAGTGGGTGAAAAATGAATGGGCAGCAATTAGCACCAGTCAATAATTTTCCAGTATACTACGTTCATATTACAAAATGGAAAGGAAGAGGAAAAAGAAGAAGAAGAAGAGGAAAACGAGAGGAAGCGAAATAGATAACAAAGATTTGTTTTGACCGAACACTTAGTCGCTGAGGTTTTCGCTGATTTTGCACCTCACTGATTGAGGAAAACAATTGAAGTAACATTACATTTTTTCACATTTTACTTTTGGATCGAAAGTACGAGGAAAATCCCTCCTTGAGGCCAACAAAAATTATGCCTGCGTGGGTTTTCTGTTTCATCAGACATGAATGACGACGAAACTAAGCAAAAGTAGTAACTGAAGAATCATTTCGCAATCAATTCCTTGCAAACTGAATCTAACGAGATCGCTCAGTTATTCTTTCTTTGGATTGTAAATGAGGTCAAAATTGCTCAAGTTTAGCTAATGAAGTGTAAGGATTATAATACATTTTTAATTTAAACAATTCTTAAATATATCAATTTCGATTATTTCCCCCCCTAATTAATAGGCTTTGCTTTTCATACTCAAGTAGGCTAAGATACTGACCTAAACATGTCACGTTCTAGTTCATCGTGTCTTCCACTTTAACAACAGGTAAGCTTTAAGGAATGATTTTATCATCATAAAGTCTCAATGGAGCTCATAATGATAAGTTGAAAGAGTATTCTTTGCCAGTGTATGGAACACTGTCAGCTAAAACTATGAAAAATTTTGGTTATTTTGAACAAAGTTTTTGCTCACCTGGAGTAAATCGGCTGAAGACTGCTCTGCAAACAAGATTACTTAATCCACGTGAAAGCTAATCAAATACCTCTGTGAGACGCTATACATATGTGCACACTGAGCTCTACTGAAGGAGCGATAGAGCTCTGCTTCACAAGATTGAGGTCTCAAAACCTTTCAGTAAGTTAAATTTAATTTTGCTTCACTTGTTCGGCATTGTTTGCAGGAATTTGATCCCACTTGTTCAAGACAAATGATGTACACTGGGTAAATAACTTTTCGTTCATTTTTTTATACTTCTGTAGACTATTGGCTTCGCTGGATAAAATAAAAAGAAGCTGTTTTAGGATAATGAAAAGAAAATCAAAATGATTTTTTACGTTCGCTGAGCTACCCAAAGCAAAAATGCATATTAACGCAAGAGATATTACGACATACTTTGCGACTGTTCCACCTAGAATAGCTGGACGTGTCGGGGACAATTCGCCGAGAGCTTTTTTGACACGAAGCTGTAGAACACAACGCTTTAATCCAGGTAAACTGAACTCGTGATTATGAACGACTTTCAAATTACAGACATTTCCACCACTTTGTGTTGTCTCGAAGTGGAACTAATCAATATCAGTTCGTTCATTCGGCCGCGAGTCGGCTCCAACAAGTATATTCTCTAGAAAACAGATTCCGGGTGTTTTATCATACCTCAAGAGAAGCAGCAGCAAGAAAGGAACTGAGACTCAATAAAGAAACATTTAAACTAAAAATTTAGGTTTAATAAAAAGAGAGACGGATAACCGTAATGCCATGCTATCCGAAGAAATGAAATAATACTGTATGATCTTGTGGGAAAAATACACCTCAAGCCACAGTATTTTCTCCAACGATAGTCCAGTTGTTTGGAAATACACTACTGTCTTAATTATTAATTCATGGTCTACGTTTAGGCAAAAGAGTGAGAAAGCAATGAGAGCTCACCCTGTTCGCCTGAACTCCACCAGAATTGGAACTGTTAATCACATAGCTAAGGTAAAAGGCTTCGCGTATAAAGTGCGAGCAACAGAACAGACGGACGACAGATCCAGTGGCAAGAGGAGTTTTAAGAAAACGAATGGAAAATCCTCACTGCTTGATCTTATAAAAACAATTTCCCATGTGTGAAATTTAATAAAGTTTTAAACGAGCAGTTCCGCATAGAAAGTAAAGTGACGCGAGGTTAACTCGATGTACTTTGAGCCTGAAAAGTATGGCATATTAATTAAGGAAAGGAAGCTAGGGAGGTTTAGTCATAATATAATGCTTTGTAAAAATAATGGAATAGCAAAAAATATGCAGAAGTACAAAAATAAAGTGTAAATATTTCAGAAACACATTATTTTTAAAAGATGTTTTTAATTTTTGGAGAAGGGTATGGATCTTTCACTTTCAAAATTTTGGTTTCTTTTACTCTCATAGATACTCAATGGTTTCCTTCACCCCTCCCTCTTTCGCTGTAGTAGAAAGCCTAATAGCCTAAAACTTAGCAGATAATATGGCTACCCCACCACCACCTGATACAACATACACACATGCATAGACAACCCTTTAACCTTTTTGAAAAGTAATATGTAACACTTACCAATAATAAGATTGCAAACTAACAGGTTTAACAGTTCAATAATAGGCCTTGAGCCAAAAACAATGGTTAATTATTTCTTGAGAAAATTAATTTTTTATTTCTCATCCAGTTTGTACATTTGATGAATGATTAATTTTGTGTCATAAGCTGTTGTTCATACAGAAAAGGTAAGAAGAGATGACTTAATATGTATGTTTGTCACTTCACTTGCAATATTCTTAGTAGGGTGTTTTGAGTCATGGTCCAGTAGGATATTCTCAAATTTTCTTGCAAAACCTTGGAAACCATAGCACCTTGTAGTACTGAAGTGATGCAGTTAGAATAGTACCAATCGATGGTTATTAGTTTTCATAGTCCTACCGTTGAAGTGTTATCCTTAACAGGAAGAGAATACAGCAAGTAATTAAACATAACGAAACTTTATTAATTGAATGTCAAGGAGATAAACTACATATAAAAAATGCTGTCTGACAACAGAGAAAATTAAAATCTGAAAGAGAGAAGTGACACTGTGGGTTCCTTACTTCTTCCCCACACAGACAGTTTCTTATGTTGTTTGTGTGTACTTCAGCACTGGGCGCTGGAATCCAGGGGCTGGGGGGAGGGGGGCTCGTGAAAGTTACCTTGGAGTTAGGGCCAAGGGGTACAGTAGCCTCTGAGAAGACTCTCATCAGTCACGTTTGTTTACATTTTAATTACATCGAATTTGCTAGTAATTTGACCCATTTCACTAAAAGATTATCAAATCATTGTCACTTTTCCAAAGGCTGGAATCGGAAAACAATAGCGTCTCATTTTCGAGTTGGAACCCCAATGGACCTCCCGCAAGTTTACTTCATACAAGTTGGATTGATACCAAACCGATAAAGCTCACCTTATAACTAGGAAGACGACTTATCAATTTGCCGTTCGTGGATGTACAAATCTCCTACCCTTCAGAGTACGACGATCTATCCAAATGGCTTGCAGCATAGAATAATAATTGAAAAAATTGATCTTTGTTCTCCGTCACGCGTTTTTCATGTTACTACTGAATGGGTCACATTATGGTCTAGAGAACAATTAATTCAAATTGCCCTTGCATATCGGAAAAGTATGTCTGTTATGAAATATCGCTGTCTACAAAATGCTACTTCATAATATATGACTTTAATATTTACAGATCTATCATAAGTATTTGCAAAACTCGACTCTTCTCTCCATGTTACGTCTCAGAGGAACAAAAAGTGAAGGCGATTTTTTTGGACAGAAAACGTTTCGGGTCCGTTATTTACACAAGGTCTAATCCAAACCATGGTTTCACGCAATGAGTGGGTCTCAGGATGTGTATGTAAGAGGGTTGACTTGGTTAGATAAACGTCCCTCTACTGTTAGCTTTCAACCCTCTTGACTCTCTTAACAATAGTAAATGTTCAAATAAAGAGTTCAGCTAAATTTAGAATTGTTTAGGACGCGGTTTTGTTTACCGACGGCTACACTTTGTTTTAAATAATCAGACGTTTGGTGTTTATTCTACCGGAAAATATTATTGAATGCCTGATAACGTCCTCGCTGAATTGCCAGTCCAAAACTGAATATCCATTCAGACTACGTTTTAGACCCTGATTCTCGTTTCACGCCCAGGACGTAGTACGATGACATTATTTTATGCCCTAGTATGTACCTTCTACCTAATCCGTAGACAAAAGTTTGTATAGACCAAACAATAATAGTAATCATGAATAATCTTTACTGCTTTTATAGAATACTATTTTCTCTCATGAACTCAAATTTAAACTTAACCCTCTGCTATGCACTAGTTTCAGAGCAACGTGCAATCAGCCTGAAAAAAAGAAGTTCCGGGCCCTGAAGAAAAAAAAATTAAGTCTTCATGGACTAACAGATAATATTCCTCCCCCCCTTCCTTTGCAAGTTTCCTCTGAATAATTCAGTCACGCCTTGTGTTCACAAGAGTGACTCGGTAAAGATTTATCGCAGTGAACTGACTCGATGCCGGGGTGGAGGATCAATCTAGTAATTTGCTTTACGTGCCTGCTTCCATTTTAGTTACCATTGGGATCATTCAATATGGCAACAGGCAAAGCAAAAACCATTGATGAAATTGATAATATGAAGGAAATGTTTGATGTGATGGAAGCCCTTGAAATTTCATACCCAGATTTACAGAAATTAGACGAGATGAAAAGTCGAGCAAAGTCTGAATTTGGACAGCTTCTTAGCATTTCCCGTTGGACTGCTGGTGAGGTAAGCATTTTGTT